TGTTTTTTAAAGAATCCCCACTTGAAGCAGGATTTGTTCCTTCTGGATGATGTTAACGCTCTAAGAGGTTGGGGATGGGATTTATGGAGCCAGCTCCAAGTGGGTCCTTCCCATTTGGAACTCAGTGGGCGTCCTGATATGATACTGTAACTTGTAGGTATATTTGTACATACATATATGCAAATATACATGTGTGCGTGATGTAATGCAATTCTGTAAGTGAATAGCAGCTTCATCACCCACTTATGTAGGGAGACTGGAATTGTAGGAGTAGATATAAGGCCCCCAGTACTTCACAATTTTCTGAATGATGAAATAAATCCATGAGCTCATGCCATTGGATCTTATTTATTTCAAGTAAACATTTAGCACTGTTGGGGGGCGTGGGAATGTTAAATTCCTCTCTTTTAGTGGGACTATAATAGCTTTGTTCACAGGGGCAGAAATCGGGAGCATATGGAAAGAAAATGGGTTTGGAGGGCCAAAGACTGGGATTAAATCACTATTCCATGATCTTACAGCTAGGATGTTAGGCAAGTGATCTAATCTGTTGGAGATATAGTTTCTTATTTGTAAAATCGGAACAATAGTACCTTTTTTCACTAGTCTATTGTGAGCATAAAGTATTTTTTTTGAAGTCCGTACCTAAATGTTTGACAGGTAGTGGACATTCAAGAATCTTTAGCTCTGTTTACATTATTAAAATAGCCCAGAACAATGAAGTTTTCCCCCCCGATAATATGCACATTTATATGGACTCCTGTTCACACGCACGCTATAGTAATAAGCTTGCATATAAATTCACTCCAGTTGTCCCCTCTATAAATACTATGCCTTTTATGGAGCAAATAAAGTATATCCCTTAATAAGTGTGTGTAGAACCAGATAAATCGTAGTTATCAAAAAAGATTAGATAAACTAGAAAGCCACAATCCATATAAATTACATGGAAATGTGCTACTTTGGAGGTTTGGGGATATTTCATTATTTTTTAAGTTTATTTGTTTATTTTAAGAGAGAGAGAGAGAGAGAGAGAGAGAGAGAGAGAGAGAATCCCAAGCAGGCTCTGCACTGTCAGCACAGAGCCTGACACGGGCTCAAACTCACAAACCATGAGCTCATGACCTGAGCCAAAATCAAGAGTCAGAAGCTTAACCAACTGAGCCACCCAGTCACCCCTAGGTTTGGGGGGTATTTTAATTACTTATGTGTTTGTGTATGTGTGCCTGTGTATAAAATTCAACAGAATGTTTTTAATATTATTATAGTCAATATTACTTTGACTTACCTCCATCTATCATTTTCATTGTTCTTCCTTCTTCCCTGCATCTACAAACTTCCACCTAGATTGATTTTTTTCCTCTACCTAAAGAATACTCCATAGCATTTTCTTTAGTGCAGATCTCTGGTGGTGAATTCTCTTAATTACTATTCATCTGGAAAATGTTTTATTTTGCCTTCATTCCTGAGGGATCCTTTTGCTCAATACAGAATACTTGGTTGGCAATTCTTTTTCTTTAGTGCTTTAAGGATATTCCATTGTCTTCTGGACAAAACAGTTCCATTTTTTTGTCAGTAACTTTTTCATTTAAGGAATTTCACGTGATTCCTCCCACTGTCAGTAATCTTAGTTCTTCCAAAGTCGGAATCACAATCTTCAAAATAGCCGTTTTAAAAAGAACTTGTGTTCAATCCACAATTGTCACTTTCACTGCCAAGTTCTTTCGCTTGGGCTTTTCTGATCTCCACTTGAATATGAATACATCAAAAATTCCCCACCTGTAATCTTTGCACTTGATGTTGGGCTTGCTTAGCTCATAGACAAAGACTTAGACAAGTGGGAAAAACAAATCCTCTTTTGCAACCCAGAACTCATCGTTGAATGTGAGTTTTGATACAGATAAGAAGGAACATGATACTTAAAATAGTCCCTTGGGGCGCCTGGGGGCTCAGTTGGTTAAGCGTCAGACTTCGGCTCAGGTCATGATCTCACGGTCTGTGGGTTCAAGCTCCGCATCGGGCTCTGTACTGACAGCTCGGAGCCTGGAGCCTGCTTCCGATCCTGTGCCTCCCTCTCTCTCTGCCCCTTCCCTGTTTGCACTCTGTCTCCCTCTCTCACCCAAAAATAAATAAACATGAAAATAATTTACAAAAATAAAAATATTTTTCCTACTTAGGGGTTAGACCTTCTTGAATCTGTGGATTGTTGTCTCATACCAATTTTGGAAAATTTTTAGCAGTTATCTCCTAAAAAATGTCACTTCTGCCCCGTGATCTCTCTCTCCTCCAGGTGGAATGCAATTTATTTGTCTGTTGGGTCTTCTCCGTGTGTCTTCTGTGTCTCTCCTATGTCCTCTGTGTCCGTGATTTTTGTGTCTCTGTGTCTCGTTCTGCATGGCTTCTTCCGAAGCTCAAATTCAGGAATCCAGTTCATAGGTTCTGTCATCAGCCACATTTATTCTGTTGTAAAATTCATTGCGTTTTTTATTTTAGTGAATATATGTTTCTTCATTCTAGAATTTCCATGGATCTTTGGAACACAGGTTCTAGATCTCTACCAAAATCCTCAAGCTTGTCTTTAATCTCCTTAAATACTATAAGCATAGGTTATTTTTTTAAATATTTTTTGAAGTTTATTTTTGAGAGAGAGTGTGTGTGTCCATGAGCAGGGGAGGAGCAGAGAGAGAGAGGGAGAGAGAGAATCCCAATCAGGCTTCACGCTGTCAGTGCAGAACTAGATGCAGGGCTCTCAATCTCACAAACCTGTGAGATCATGATGCCGACTGAGCCACCCAGGAACCCCCCTTTTTTTAAGTCTTTTTAAAAAATGCTTATTTATTTTTGAGGAGGGAGGGGCAGAGAAAAGGAGACAGAATCCTAAGCAGCCCCCACTGTCAGCGCAGAGCCTGATGCATGGCTCAAACTCACAAATGGTAAGATCATGACCTGAGTCTAGGTCATTTTAATGTCTCCGTATCTGATGATCCTACATCAGAAGCCCCCGAGGGTCTGTTGCTATTATCTGTTATTTCTACTGGTTTTTTATTCACATCCTCTGGTCTATTTGTGGACCTCATCCCTCTTTTTTAGTTGAATGTCTTTTATTTGGAAATAATTGCAAATAATTATTTTTACTTGGAAACAATTCAGACCTTACCCTGATTTTAGGGGCTAGGATGATTAAAATCTGAGCTTCAGACTTTGAGAAGGCCTGTCTGCTTCTGGCTCACCTCACTTCTAGAGTGTAGAGCACTTTGGAGTCACAGCCCAAAAGAGTGGAGCTCACCAGAGAGCATCCTCCCGTTGATACACCTGAAGGGTACCCTGAATTTCATTCCCTTCTCCTCCCCACCCCCACCATGCTCTTGAGATTACAAAAAGTCCAGACCACTTGGTTTTGAAACTATTCCAGTTTGGAATGTGCAAATGGCCTTGGAGGAAAATAGCCCTAAACACCAGGTTTAAATCTCTAGACTGTCACCCTTTCCCTGAACCTTCCCCGGTGATTTTTCACTACCTTATTTTCTGTCTAGTGCCATAAGAAATAGTTTTTTTACATTTTGCCCTTAGTTTTTGTTTACTTGGGTTTTGTTCAGAGTATTTGGTTGTCCTCAGCGAGAAGATTGGTCCGAATTACCTATTCTGTTACTTCTAGAAAAGCCACTGAAAATTGCCTCTTTAAAACGACTTCATTGGTTTTTTTTTTCTTTTTTGTGTAGCATAAAGTTGAAGAAAATAAATTTCTAGGAAAATTAAACCTTTAGAATCTCAAGTGCATTTCAGCCTTACTTAATGGCAACAGTAAGACCTTCACTGGACAGTTTGCAAACCCCTACACCCACTGTCTCCTTGCCTTTTGTTCATGTATCTCCACTTCCAGGAATGTCTTCTCCTTGCATCCACACCTGTACTCCACCCTGATTATTTTTTAAAACTTAGCACAGTGTATTCGACTTCCTTAATCACCTCTTCTTCAAACCGGTCTATGCCTTTTCTCTGCCCTCCAACAACTTAATATTGTAGTAAAGTATTATCACCCTACTTGCCACATTGATTGGCAGTTACTACGTTCCTGGACCTCTTCTGCCTGCTTGATTGTGACCTACTCTGGGACCAGGACTTTTTCAGCTTATTTACTTAGCATAGTGCATGCATAGCACATGGTGGCAGAGGAAACAGCAGCTTTTGGGAGGATAGTGAGCGCCCCCCATTTTGGGGAGTGGTTTTCAAACCAATGCACAGCCTGATTTGAGTACCTGGAACTTGACCTTGGACGGGCCAAGTACTTGCTCTCTCTGCCCAGTTTACCCTCTCCTCAACACTGCCCACCCCTCAATCCTCTCAAAATGCTGCCCAGCCTTCAGGGTCCCAGGAAAACGGGGAAGCCCTGCCTGTTTCCTCCAGCCTTCACCGGCTCTGCTGTCCCCAGGTTTTGAGTACACGGCTCATTTATCCGATAAATATTTATTAAGCTTCAGCCATACACCAAGTCTCCTTTTAGGGGCCAGGGATACAGTGATATAAACAGGTAAGTGCTGCCTGGTGGACCTTACATACAGCCTCATTCTGATTCCTAATCAGCTCTGTCATACGTGAGAGTGGCATTTGCCCAGTGAGCGGAGAAAGTGCAAGACTGTATCTTGTGCTCCAGGGCTGAACACTGAGCACCTGTTCCATTGCCCTTGGGGGCCGATCCATTTGTTTTAAGGGAGGCCAGCTATAGAGCTGATACTCAGTAAAATGATACTGTGAACACTAAATGGACTTTTTTTTTTTTTTTACTGGCTTCTACCCAGCACCTATATATGGTAAATACAGGTACAGCAAAAAATTAAGGGCCTCATTTGCGTGTGTTGGCGGATGAGGATCGCGGAACAGTCTTATTCCCTCCCCCGCCCCCCTTTGGCTTAGGCACGTGGGCGTGTATGAATTAAAACAAGACTAAAATGTCTTCATTTGTTTCCTTCTTCTTTGCTCTCTGTCTCTCACTGTCTCCGCAGGTCAGCGTGGAGGTTTTGGTAGAGTACCCTTTTTTTGTGTTTGGACAGGGATGGTCATCCTGCTGTCCAGAGAGAACCAGCCAGCTCTTTGATCTGCCGTGTTCCAAACTCTCTGTTGGGGATGTCTGCATCTCACTGACCCTCAAGAACCTGAAGAACGGCTCTGTTAAAAAGGGCCCGCCCGTGGATCCGGCCAGCGTCCTGCTGAAGCATTCAAAGACGGACAGCCTGGCGGGCAGCAGACACAGGTACACGGAGCAGGAGAACGGCATCAACCAGGGAAGCGCCCCGATGCTGTCCGAGAACGGCGAACTCAAGTTTCCAGAAAAAATAGCATTGCCTGCAGCGTCCCTGCTCACCAAAATCGAACCCAGCAAGCCCACGGCAACCAGGAAGAGGAGGTGGTCGGCGCCGGAGACCCGCAAACTGGAGAAGTCGGAAGACGAGCCACCTTTGACTCTTCCTAAACCTTCTCTAATCCCTCAGGAGGTTAAGATTTGCATCGAAGGCCGGTCTAACGTAGGCAAGTAGAGGCAGCGTGGGGAAAGGAAATTCGGCTCTCCCTTATTTGTATCCAGATTACTGTACTGTAGGCTAAATAACACAGTATTTACATGTTACCCTCTTTAGGTTTCTGTTATAACCTTGTCATTAGAGTTACAGCTGGTGTTGCAGCAGGAGACCGGGGCACATGCTTTTCCAGGAGTGACAGCGGCAGGTGGGGGGGAGGGGGGAAGGGCAGGGCCCGCGCAGGCTCCGGGCGTCCTGGGAGAAAGGAACGTGGCTTCCGAGCACCTGCCTTTTCCAGCTGCAGGGAAGCCGCGGCCCGGGCGCTGACTTCCGCCGGTTTCCTGTGCAGGTTCTGCGGGCAGGGAGCTGCCGGGGAGGGGAGGAAGGGGGCGTGTGGGCGTGCACTTGGGGGGCGCGGGTGCAAGGCGGGGGTGGAGGGTGTCTCCTTCCCTCTGCCTCCCTCTGCCTCCCTCTCTCTGGCACTGGCCTGGAGGTCCCGCCAGCAGGGCAGGGTCCTGGCGAGGGCCTCACGTGCAAAGCAAACATCAGGAACCCGGGTGCAGGGCCTGCTAGAGAGGCGTCCGACAGCAGACGGAAAGCCAACCGTGTAAAAGGACCTTTTTTTTTTTTCCCCTCCAACATATTTTACAATAAAAGCAACTTTTAATCCTATAGAGATATATTTCCCCCTATGGGGCCTGACTGCACTGATATTTTTTTAGAGCAACTGCCACACGTGGGATTTCGTTTCTGCTTTACCAAGTGCAGTGATGTCGCCCGGGTGTCACGGTGGGCAGCGCAGCTTGGCGCTCCGCGCGGCGGGGGGCGGGGGCGGGGGCGGGGGCGGGGCGCTGCGGGGGAGCGGACCGCCCACTCTGGATTCTGTGCAGTGTTAGGAAAACCAATCAGGTTATCACATTGACTTCGCTCAAACCGCCCTGCCGAGAGCCGCGGAAGCGCTCCTCATTGGGTTTGCAAAATCTGGTCTTTTAACTCTAGTACTGTTTATAGTTCATGACTATGGACAACTCGGGTGCCACGGGTGCCACTTTTTTTCAGATTCCAGTGTGACGTGAGGAATTAGATTTTGAAGATGAACATATATATATTACTATCTCTAAGCACTTAAAATGCTGTTCACACTTTATTACCAAGCATCTTGGTCTATCATTCAACAAGTACTGTATCTCCCTTTAAACTCTTTGGGAAGAAAAAAACAAAACAAAACAAAAAAAATATATAAGTTGCTTTCTTTTTTTTTTTTTTTTTTTTCAACACTGTAACTACATTTCAGGTCTGCAGAGTTTCTCACGAGCAAGATATTGGAAGTTTCAATGTGGTTTAAAGGGATGAATGTGAATTATGAGCTAGTATGTGACAATGAATGACCCCCAAGTACAGCCTGACAGGATGTACTTTTCACTTTGATGTTTGAGAAAGAAGTAAAGGCATATATGCAGAGCTGGCAGAGAAACTGAGAGAAAAGGTATGGAAAAAAGAATACTCATTTTTGTCCAGTGTTTTTCTTTGTAAGATGAACTTTTAAAAAACCTTGCGATTTGCACATCTTGAGTTTATAATTTGTGTGATATTCCTGCAGTTTTTATCCAATAACATTGTGGGAAAGGTTTGAGGGACTGAACGAGCATAAATAAATGTAGCAAAATTACTTTCTAACCTGCCTAAACTCTAGGCCATTTTATAAGGTTATGTTCCTTTCAGAATTCATTTTGGTCTTTCTACATCTGTCACAAAAAAAAAAAAAAAAACCAAAAAAACAAAAAAAACCACAAAAAAACAAAAACAAAAAAAAACAGGTCTTAGCAGGACAACTCTGAGAATTTTCTTCAGACTCATTGAGAGAGTTTTCCATAAAGACATTTATATATGTGAGCAAGTTTTTTTAAATTACTTTATTGTTGTTATTAATGTTATTTTCAGAATGACTTTTTTTTTTTTCCATCTGAAATCAAATCGAGATTCAATGTTTGGTACAAACCCAGAAAGGGTATTTCACAGTTTAAGCCTTTCATCCCCAGAGACCTGAAATATTGTTTGTGGGTTTTGGGCGTGTGTCTTAAAGTGCTTTAAAAAAATTACAATAATAAGGTTTTATAAGTAATGAGAAATTTTTAAATATTCTCACTTGGAGTGGCTGCAACTTATCTGAACAAATACTTCATCAGATTTTTCTTTTACTGCTGAAAGTAGTACTTCTTCCATTTTGCAAATTAAAAAAATAATTTCTAATATCAACCCACATTTTGGCCATCTAGTATCTCATTACATTTAGCTCTTACAAGAACTTAATGATATTTATAAACCATTTTCTGGGGTGTACCAAAAACATTTGCATAGGTTTAGAATAGCTAGAACTTTCTTTGGATTTCATTATCCTCTCAGCATGCTAGCAGAGAGCTGGGCGAGCCCATTCTTGCGGTCATACTGCTTGTTTAGAGCTGGTTTTTGTTTTTGTTTTTGTTTTTAAAGTTTCTGCTCAGAGACCTTGCTTAATCTTCCATATATTCTGCTCAGGGCACTTGCGATTTTAGGTTTTGTTTTTCTTTTTGTTTTGTAACCTTTAATGGTAAGAGGAATATGGGGCTGCCATATACACTTCGTCCTCCTCAATACCACTATTCACAGAAACTCACGCGGACGCAGAAACACACATCACCACCTTTCGACTCAACTTCCAGTATTGTGCTAACTGGATCCTCAACACCAACACTAAAAATGGGAAAACATACACGGTTCGGAGCAATAGGAACATCATCGTAATTTTTGTGCTTCTATTTCAGGTATAGGAATTCTTAAATAATTGGTTCTTTCTAAACATCATCCCATTTCACGCTCTTGCTTTTTTAGTGTGTGCAACACTTCCCGTGCCAACAGGTCCGACCAGTGTGCTCTAGGTAAAGCTCATTCCCCATCCGGCCCGTCTTCCCCATTCTGGCCAGAGAAGGGCTGGAGGGAAGGAACCGGGAAGGAGAGCAGCTCCCTCCGTGAGCTCCCCACCACGGATGCTGAGTGCTGGGGAGGGGAGCTTTCAGGAGCCCCATATGTATGTCACCCTGTTGCAGCAAAAGCCAATAAAGGAAGGCTAGGGGACCAGCTTGAGTCCCTCTGTCACCATGAAGAATAGTGAATGTGCAGTGTGGGGAGGAAGCAGGTAGATTCATTTCTAAGGCACACCGTGGAGCAAAGAGAACCAAGATCCACCCATTCTCCAAGGTGTTTTCCAGAGCAGGTGGGTCCCTCCTCGGGTCTGTGTCCTGGAGACTTTGAGCTGTGCCTCAGAGCACGGGTGGGAAGCGTGGCCCGATGTGTGCGTATGCGCTCTGAACATGCAGCCAGTGGCCGTGGAGGGGCCCCTTTGAACAATGGTCACCACTCCTTAGTGGCAGCTTTCCCTTCAAATAGGAAGAACATCCCAAGGACAGGGAACCTCCTCTTGTTGGCAGACATTGGCCAGCTCCTGTGTAGCAAACATGACAATGAGAAGCATAGAAATTCTTCAGTGCCGTGCAGCTCACAAGGACCAGCCGTGTGCCTCTGTACTATGTCCGCTTGGCAATATCTACTGACAACCATCTTCTGTTCTTTCTTTCCTGTTTTCCATTTCTAAACTAATAACAGCAGGCCTTTTGCGTTTACAGTGGAACACAATCACCAAGAAATCAGTCAGGGCGAAAAGAAAAAAAAAAAAAAAGAAACCAACAATCAAGAACCTCTCTTTCTAGGGATTTCTAAATACATTAAAGGACTGTTCCTTAGAATGTTTAACGTAAGAATTATTTCAGTTTGTTTGGGCCACATTGCGGGGGCGGGGGGAGATACAAAGATGGATGCCACTTACCTCAAACCTTTTAAAGTGGAAATCCAAATTGCATTTTTGTTTGGACTTTCAGAATCATTTTCGATGTCGGTCAATTTTTTGTTTTGTTTTGTTTTGCCCAACTCAACCCAGTTGGGTGTGGGAGGATTGAATTTTTTTTTTTTTTTTCGTTGCTGTGGATCCCATTTCTAAGTCTGAATTGTGACCCGCTATGTTTTCTGTTAGGTGAGTGTGTTGGGTTTTCCCCCCACCAGGAAGTGGCAGCACCCCCTTTTCCCCTACAAGGAACTCTGCGGAACCTTTCTCACCTCTTACTCAGGGACGGGGCTGGTGTGTGTGTGGTACACTGACGTGTCCAGAAGCAGCACTTTGCTGTGGAGGAGGCTTGTACAATTTCAAGGAATGTTTGGATTTCCTGCATCTTGTGGATTACTCCTTAGATACTGCATAGATTGCAATATAATGCTGCATGTTCAAGATGAACAGTAGCTCCTAGTAATCATACAATTTACTCTTTGCACATAGTTTGATCTTTACTGAAATGTGTTGCCAAAATTTATTTTTGTTGTTGTAGCTTTGGAATTTTTTTTTTTGTCTGTTTTTTAAGGAAACAATTGACAATACCCTTTAACATCTGTGACTACTAAGGAAACCTATTTCTTTCATAGAGGAAAAAAAAATCTCAAAATGCTTTTGAAGACACTAATGCCATGTATTTCAGATGTGGGAGAAACAGCAGAGTTCTTGGACAGGAGGCCAGGCTTTGTGAGCCGTGTTGGTTGTCATGGCTACTGTTTCGTGAACCGCACGCAGCTCAACAAACTGGTCTGTTCTCTCCCAGAACCCTTTGCATTTCTATTTCCTAGTCACCCATGATGATTCCAGGTGGAAGAAGGGCCCGCAGTCTCGTGGCCCAATCCGGCGCCTTCAGCGGTGATATAAAAGGAAAGGAAATTACGCTTTTTATTTTTTAAAGTGGAGTGGGGGCCTTTGCTTCCACCTTTGTGTTTTTAACCCAGATTTTCTGAAATAGAGAATTTAGGAACACATCAAGTAATAACTATACAGAAAATATACTTTTTTATAAAGCACATGCCTATGCTATTGTGTTGGGTTGGTTTCCTCTCTTTTCCACGGACAGTGTTGTGTTTCTGTTGATAGGGAAACTCCAAAGAATTTGCACACCTCCACTCCGGAGCTGAGATTTCTTTTACATAGATGACCTCGCTTCAAATACGTTACCTTACGGATAGGATCTTTTCTTGTAGCACTATACCTTGTGGGAATTTTTTTCTTTCTCTCTCTCTCTCTCTCTCTCTCTCTCTTTTTTTTAAATGTACACCTAATTTGAGAAGCTGAAGAAGAAAAAATTTTGAAGCACTCACTTTGAGGAGTACAGGTAATGTTTTCAAAAATTGCACAAAAGAAAAATGAATGTCGAAATGATTCATTCAGTGTTCGAAAGACATGGATCTGTTGAAACAATGAGTTTCATACCTTGTTTGTAAAAACAGAAAAAAAGCATAAAGGTTGAAAGTTACATGTTTTTTTTTTTTTTTTGTTTTTTTTTTTTTTTTGGTTTTTTTGTATATAGAAATTTGTCATGTCTAAAATTATCAGACTTGTGTGGTTATGGCCTGGAAGAATTACTAGGTAAAAGGCTCTTAAACTATACCTACGCTTCCTTTATGTTTTTGTTACATAGAGCCCTCTTCGGAGGGAGGGCAACTCTGTATTCTGAAATTTGAGAATACTGTTCATTCCTGTGCTGAAAGTACTTCTCTGAGCTCCTTTCTTGGTTTAAACTCTCAAGCCATTGCAACTCCTTTTTCTTCAGAGATCTTGTTTCACATTGTCAGCACTTCCTGTTTCAATAAACCCAAAGAATATAATCCTGAACAAGAAGTGTTTGTAACAAGGGATCCTAGCTACCAGTAAAACAGAACTCATTATGAGGACAAAAAAAAAAAAAAAAAAAAAAAAAAAAAAAAAAAAGAAAATTGCACCTTTTTTTCTCCCCCCCCCCCCCCCCGCACCTCATTTAAATGGGGGGTATAAACAAGAATTTCAATTGCAATGCTTCATTTTACTTTAATTTTGGGGTTTTTTTCTTTCATCTTAAGGCCAAAATACCCAGTAAAACACGGAACAACTTCTCAGAAGAGTCCTATTCTGTCCCAGACACAAAGCAGCCAGCAGAAACTGGACAGCTGTGGGGACATTGAACAAACCCACCTACAGTTCTTAAATTCAGAATCTCAGCCCCTCCCTTACCATTCAATGCAACGTTTCTGGTAGCTGACATTCACCTGTACGATGGCGGGAGGGAACAGTGGCTTCAGTTTTTCACGTCCTTCGTGACTTGCGTACAAATGGTTCAGCTGTATTAAGATTAAGTGCATTTGGCCAATAGGTAGAATCGACACAGCAACAGTCTCTAAGAATTTCCGTCACTTTTCTTATCCGAAAGGACTCGAGTCTTCCACTGCAGATAATCGAAGACTTCACCCAAGTTTTCTTCCCCTTTAGTTTTGTTTGTTTGCTGTCTGGATGGCCAACGAGCCGGTCTCCTTTTCCATGGCCAGTCTGAAGGTTTGCGTTGGAAGTGCTGCTTACAGCATTCCTTGCCGGGCTAATATACCGTCCTCCGGGAATATCAAGTCTGACGTGACTGACGCTGGCTTAGAGCTGTGTCTTTACACGGCCGTTATCAAGAAGCTGGGCGTGTACGTTTCCTCTGGTTCTTCCAGAAACCACTGCTCTTATTATCTGGTCCAGGAATGGGGTCAACTGTTCAGTCCGTGAGCATTTAGGTTGACACCTATACATTCGGTCCCGCGAATACTGCCCTTTTGGGGTGGTTTCTTCCAGCTCGGTGTTCACCTGTAAACCCATTTAGGGTCAAGTGAATGGAGGTCTCGGGAGAGCCCTGCCAGTATTCGTGGTGGCCTTGGTTTAAGACAGTCCTAACTTCTGGCCAGTGGGGCCCTGGCCCCAGAGCCATCTCTGAGATTCGTATCACTGTTTTACTATCAGATCATTACCCACCAAACTTCCAATCGTATGCCTCCCACCGGCCAAGGGAAAAGAGACACCAGAACTTTGGGGCAATATCAGACTGACACGGCCAGTACAGAGGAGAACTAGGGAAGGAATGTTTTGCACCTTACTGAAAAGAAAACTTTTAAGTGCATACATAGTTAAGAGCTTTTATTGTGACAGAACTTTTTTCCATATGCGTGCATACTCTCTGTAATTCCAGTGTAAAATATTGTACTTGCACTAGCTTTTTTAAAACAAATATTAAAAAAAAAATGGAAGAATTCATATTCTATTTTCTAATCGTGGTGTGTCTATTTGTAGGATACACTCGAGTCTGTTTATTGAATTTTATGGTCCCTTTCTTTGATGGTGCTTGCAGGTTTTCTAGGTAGAAATTATTTCATTATTATAAGAAAACAATGTTTGATTCAAAATTTGAACAAAATTGTTTTAAACAAATTGTCTGTATACCAGTACAAGTTTATTGTTTCAGTATACTCGTACTAATAAAAATAACAGTGCCAATTGCAAATGTGTGTCCTTGCCTCTGTCAGGTGTTTCAAGACAAAGGTTGAGAAAAGAATGGTAACCCCCCCCCCCCCCCGCCAGAATTAGCCCCGCTGTGATCGCCGGGTCCCCTTGCAGTGGGGAGTGGATGCAAGGCATTGCCTTTCCTAGGAATGCTTTTCGGGGAGGTGGGGGAGGAAGGCTTGGCCATGCAGGAGATGAGAGCCGGAGATAAAAGGCACGTTTCAACACCCGCTTTGGGCTTATTCAGTTCACGTTTAGTTCCTCCTAGCTGAACAATGCTGTTTACAAGAGATCTTTGTTTCTAGACAGCATTTGGCAGCTTCACGGGACTCCAGTGGCCTTGCTACACACTGGTTAGTGGTCCCAAGGTGGAAAGTTCCTTCGAATTTCCTTTAGCTCATGCCTGTTAAAAAAAAACTCAGCAAGCCAGGGGGACCTCCTGGCATGCGGAAAAGGAGCCCCCATTTGTCTCAAGAGCGCCGCTCGGTAGGTTTCCCCTGTGTCCGCTCTCAGGGAGATGCGGCTTAGTTACCCCAGAAACTAATTCCCTGGGGTCCCATGCCGGCGGCGGCGCCCCCCCCCCGCCCCCCATCTGCACGTGTGGCTATCAAATCCTTCTGCAGAGACGTAAGGGAGTTCTCAGTGCTAAATTCAGGGTTCTCACTGAGCCCAGGGAGGAGCGGGTAACCTCTTTCCTCTTGCTGTCCTCCTGGTTAGATGTTTGGGGGCGGGGAGCTCGCCAAGACTCTCCTCTGGGGACTTGGCATTGAGGCCCCGATGAGCTGTGAGCATTAGTGTTCACGGTGCTCAAGGCACCGGGGGGGGGGGGGGGGGCCGGGGGACCTTGCAACCCACGAGGGGGTCCTGCCCCTCCCTCCAGGGCGGTCTGGACGGACGTGCCACGTGCTACGGGCAAGTCTGGGGAAAGCAGCCTGAATCACCGCCTTCCCCGCTGATGTAATACTCGATGCTTACGGTTCTGAGAGGTTGAGGCCCAGTGGCTACAGACTTGGCTCCAATGTTCACACGAGGGGAAAAGCGGTGTCACGTGCGGCAATGGGACGGGCCTCGAAACCACCAGATGCATAGCAGGAACGGCCCCTGGTGAACGGCGTCTCACTCGCGGACACCTTCCGGCACCCACTCCTGCACCGGAAGGCCTGGGGGCGGCGGTTGAACACTCGGGCACCCAGCGCCGCACCTGATACCCCATCCGGGTCTCCCCGGGGCCCAGCGCTACTGGAGGCAGAGATGCACGTACGAAGGCAAAGCACGACGGGGCCTTCGAGGAGCTTTTTGCAAAATCTCTGCTTCCGGTGATTCGCTTCCCTCAACACTAGCTCAGCAAGGGACCTGCCTCCAGCAGGTGGAAACCAAGAGCAAAGAGGGTACAAAATCTTTACACAAGATGGATAAGGCAGGCACAGGCCTCTGCAAAGACCACAGCCCGTACTGGGTTGATGGGCATCCCGGTCCCAGACCCCTCTGCGTGTAGCACCGCAGCCGGATGTAAGAGGGGGACAGCGGTGAGCCCAGGCTAAGCAAGGGGTGCCCAGAAACGTCCCTTACTACCGCTAGTACATCTTGCATGGATTTCTTTAAGATCTCCCTTCTTTTACTTCTCTCCTTTATTGCAACAGAGAATCTCTTAAACTCACGAGCTTGAGTAGAAACCATCTTCCACAGGAACAGTGTGGGACTCAAACCTCAGACAAGCAAACGGAAAACATGGGGTGCCTCCAGCAAAACCCCACATCTTGCTCTATGTTGAAACAGCCTCCGGACCCTCCTCATCTCAAACGTGTAGCCAATTCACGTTTCCACAAGTACAATAACTATTCCTAATGGAGTCAGGGGCGAAAAGTTTTACAATAGCGTTGAAGGTGCTGAACCCATCAATGCGTTCTTAGAAAACTACAAACGGATGGATAGTTTCCTGGAACATTATGGTTTCGATGGATTCTTTGTATGGTGTCCGTCACCGTGGACATCGGGGTCCTTACCACGGTAGCACTGTGTGATCCTTCTCTATTCCAGGAGAGTCACTTAATTTTTTAAAGGAAAATGCACTCTCGCGTCTGCTTCTCTAAACCTTGTTTAAAAGAAAAAGTAAAACTTCCTGGTCTGCGTATACTTTCCAGTCTTAATCCTCAAGCAATGCCTCAAAAGAAGTGGCCACTGTTAACAAATCCACGTTCATGGTTTCAAGTGCCATAGTGGACACTCCTCCAAGGCCCGGGTCCTTTCTCCCAGAAAATACCATTGTCACCAGTGAACTGACCACTTTACAATAATACCTTTCTTGAGAATATCGATGGCCCCGAGAAGGGAATAATTCTCACTCCTAATTGAAGTCAATGACTTTTGGGAAGCCACAGGTCAAGGTGTTTGCGGTCTTTCAACGGGATTCCACTTGCCCAGGTTTTGGTGGGTGACCTTTCCACCAAACATCCCACGGAGCTTCAAAATAACTTACGACCTAAGAGAGAGGCCAGCCTGACAGGTCGAGACGGAGGAGGGAGGAGATGAAGGGAAAACAAAACGCAATGAAAAGCCGGGACAGGGACAGTGTCCTCAAAGCAGCATCGACCTTATGGTGACAGATACCTGTTCCCAGAAGGCACGTGTAACGCAGGTGGTGAAAACATGCCGCCATGCCTCATGAGTATCTGCACGAAGCCAAGTCTCCAAGTTCCGGTCGGGTGCTTTTGGTTCTTTTCCAGCAACCGAAAGCAGAGGGGGGTTGGAGGGTTACCCTGACAGGCCTGGCCGCCCTCCCCTCCCATGCCCTCCCCTCCCCTCCCCTCCCTTCGCCTCCCCTCTGTGACTGCCAAGAGCTAAGCATGGGAAGTAGGTAGAAAACCCCCAGCTCCCTTGACAACCTGCTTCCTGCAAAGGCAAACTCCAGCACTCCAAGTCTTAAGATAATTGCATTATATTAAAGTGAAACCATTTTTCTTTAAAAAAGGAAGGAAGGAAGGAAGGAAGGAAGGAAGGAAGGAAGGAAGGAAAAGGGGAGTTGAACAATGAGGTTATGAGTTCCAGGCAGCTGGGCTCTGACCACAGACCCGGTCAGCGCCCTGCTTCCGGGGCCCCGGAAGGCACTAGGGGAGCCCCAAAGCCTCCGGACGGCAGGTGGGGGAGCAGGAGGCAGGAGTCCGACATTCAGGAGCAGCCAGAATCTCTGATGTCACAGGAGGAGGTGGGAGAGCAGGTGTGCGTGGAAGCTCCCGTGAGCCAGAAGTCACCGCATCCTCAAGGTTAGCTGAACACCGTGTTGTGCTGTTGCGTCACCCGGATGAACGTCGCCCTCCTGCTGAGCTCCTTGAGTTTGGCGGCCCCCACGTAAGTGCACGTGGACCTCAGTCCCCCAAGAATATCCAGAATAGTGTTTTCTACATCCCCTTTGTAAGGCACTTCCACGGTCTTGCCCTCGGAAGCTCTGGAAGAAAAAGGAAGCTTTTCTTTCTAATCGGTTGTTTCCTCCCCCCCCGTAAGAACCCAGCTGTAATTACTCCCAGCTTTAGCACTTGACACAGCCCCCAAGGCACTCAGGTAGCTCCGTGCCACACCCTCTGACCCCAGTCCCACATTTGCTACAAATGCCGAGCCGGCCACACCAGCATCTCAGATGAATGCGTGCCTCCCATGCGAAACGCGCAGCCTCACTGCTGGCCACCGGGAGCGTCTGGAAAAGGAAAGTCCTCATCAGCAGCCTTGGACGAAGTGACCTTCTCGGCAGTAGCCTCCACTCTGCTCCTTGCTACTCCTCCTTAATTCCTACACCGGCGTCCAGTTGACCCCGAGCCCCACATGCCCAAGGGGAAGAACAGACGTGGCGGATTACCTCTTGAACAGCCTCCCCGCCAACTGCCTACAATTAAGAGGTGAAGGAGATATGCATGCAGACAGTCTCCCACGTACCCCGGTTTGACTCCGCCATGGTGCGAAAGCAGTGCGCACTCAGCAGAAACCATACGTCACATTCCGGACTTGGACAATCCTCACCTGTGATGCAGGCCACTGATGGCCGCAGCTACGTCAGCCCCGGGATCGTGAGGGGTCAACGGTCCCAATACAGTGACCAACCACCCTGCACCTGTATGACCTGTATATACTGTTTTGCAGTAGGGTATTTGACAAATGACACGAGACATTCAACACTTCCTTATTAAAAAGGCCTCGTGTTAGAAGATTCTACCCAACTGAACGCTAACGTGAGTGTTCTGAGCACACGTAAGGTGGGCTAGGCTGAGCTACGACGTCCGATGGGCTAGGTGTATTAAATGGCTTTCAGTTTACGATATTTTTACCTTAAGATGGGTTTATCAGGACATAGCCCCATAAGTCAAGGAAGATCCACAAAATGGACAACTCAAGCCCTGTTAGGCTGCATGGACATACAGTCCAGACTTGCTTCTTGGAGGGGCATTGCAAGAAGGAAATCTCCAATCTATGCAAAACTCTAGCCTTCATGTAAGGCTCGGGCAATCTGGAAATTCTGACAATTAACCAAACGGTGGACTCTTCTTTCCTGGTCTCTTCAACTAGAAAAGATAGTTATCTCTCAATCAGAAATTCATTACCTAGGATTTCAAAACAGCATTAACTCTTGTTGCGCTGAAATCCACACATCGAAGGCTACCCTTAAGTGCAATGAAATCTACCCGCTTAAACCACTGACTAGACCAAGCTGGCCTCAGGGCTGGTTCAGAGCACCAAGCTCTCGGAGCCCGTCACTGGCCACTCCCAAGACGATTCACATCACCACGCTCTGTGACCAGGGACCAACATCTCTGCCCATGCGCCCACGGTGACTGCCATTTTGCTTTTTACAAGAGATTTCCATGGCCTGCCCGGGGCTTGCTGGAAATCATCCAGACTCTCATCGTTGCTTCTCTGCTACCTGGTGATGGCACCTCGTGCAAGTCACTTATTGCTGAAGCCCAAGTCTTCTCATCCGTAAAACGGAGGTACTTTGATCTGTCTCCCAGGGACAGC